TAACAGGAAAAAGATTGAAAACCGTAAAATGTTAGATATTAAACTGCGACAATTAAAAAAGTCCAATAGAAAAAGTAGAGATAAATCAATCCTGTAAAAATAACAATCCCTGCGTTGCCTTAACTGAAATAAACTCAATCAAAGTGGAAGCAATGGTCTTGATGAGTAATAAACAATCAAAATTTATTGGTGTAACTCAACGCTTTTTGAACGGGAAGTTTAGTCCTGACGTGGTTTGTGTTTCTCAAACTTTTGCTGTGTTCTAACGCAACAAAAGTACCATTTTTGATCTAAACAATCTACTCTGAGCTATACGTTCGGTAGATTACTTATTTACGAGTTTCGCCCAATTTAATAGTTAACTGTGGTTTTGCCTCAGCTTACTATTCGGTTTTTTTCAGTTTTTCACATAAAGGCTAGTTCAGTTTATTTCATCCGTTTTTATCTATTTTCCCGTTTTTAGTGTATTTTTAACGGTCTCAGGCTTTTGCTAACATCTATAATACAGTTTACGTCAATACAGTCGTGAAACGTTCATGCAAACGACCTGGAGGCCGTTTTGCTGTTACATCTGGCATGCAGTGCGACAACTTCAAAGGTTGGTTTCATGAGGCGTGCACAGATCTCACAGCAACTGCTTACAACAGACTCAGCAACTCGGATCATAAGTGGGTATGTGTTTCGTGCAGCACGGATGCTGTAGTTTTGCAGAGTAACATCATTGTTCTATTGACAGGTCTGTGGAATAAGTTGTCAGCAAACTTGGAGAAAGACAGTCTTAAAACTAACAAGTGCACGTAACGAAAACAAGAATAGGGATTTCGATAGGTCTACCATTGATGGAGCATGCATTAGCTCTGATGATGACGTGTTGAAACTCAGCACCATCATTACGTCGACGGTAATAGACTCCCTCAGTAAACTAGGTTCTCCCAGCTCATGGTCCTTAAATGCAACAGTGGTTCCCAAGAACTCTGCAGGTGATCGCACCCACGTTAACAGAGTTAAATAGGATTAGACGTCACCGTGTAAGTTGAACATCCCAAGATTTGTACGGAAATCAACTGGTGATTTGATCGTTCAGTCTACCTCAAGAGTGTCCGCCCAGCCATTAAAAAGCCTGGGATTCAGAAAAGTGCTTCAAATTCCAAACAACAAGTCGTTGAACCTGAACGCATCATGAACCTCAAAGACAACCCTGACCTTCCTCTCAGTTTGCAGGACAAAAACGACAGGAAGCTCTGGGGTAAATTGGACAAGAAGCTTGAACTTCCTAGAGTAGAGCTTTCGACGGTCACACGGCTCACTCGGGGAAAGGGATCTAAGCATCAAAATCACCGAAGGCTCCTTCGTGCAACACTTAAAAATGCTACCGAAGTAGAGGGCGTCCTGCTAGCTAGTCATCTACTGAAATCAGATGGGAACATCAGAATACTGCCCGACATACCGTACTCTGAGCGCAATCTCATCCGGAACGTCCCTAAAGATTCTCGAGAGAAGTTTTTCCGCAGAAGAAATGTCATCGTGCAAGCAAACTCTGATATTCTGGAATGAAAATTCATCAAACAGTCCTTGAGGCTTAAAAACATGCTGACTCAGCATGTGATGAGACTAGCCAAGAAGGACGGGGATCCTAGACCCCGAATAATGAGGATAACTTTTCCATCCTCCCATATGGCGGCTGCAGCTCTGGAAGCATTTCGTGTCAACAGACGTCGGTGGCTAACTGGGATCCACATGCACCCGGGCAGGCCATACGTCGCCAGGATCAAGCACATAGGCAAGCTGGAGCTGACCATTCCACTTGTGGACTGTATTCAAGATAAAAAAACGTGTAAGGGACAGAGCCTGCCAATTCGACAAAACTTTTATAGGTGAGTTACCTGTCCACTCACGTAAGGCTCTTACAAACAAACAGGAAGAAGCTCACGCGTTTCAAATTGAGAGCATTAACTGCTCATACATGAACGCCGCGAGTCTACCAAATAAAATGGATGAACTAAGCGAACTTTGAAACGCTAATAAGGTTCATATGATAGGAATATCTGAAAGTTGGATATCTCCTCAGTACTCGGACCAGGAGCTGGCGATACCTGGGATGTCTCTGTTTCGCAATGACTGAAAAACAGGAATTGGGAGTGGAGTAGCTCTATATACACGATCTGGCTTGGAGGTACACCAAGTTCACAACCATGAGTTTGACAATCTTGAGGAATCCATATGGTGCTCTATGAGATTGTCCACTACTTCGAGGTACCTAGTCGGAGTCATATATAGGAAGCCCACTGCCAACATCGAGTATGACAGTCGCATGCTGGAAGGACTATCCCGCTCTACGCCTCTCGGCTTCACTCATATCCTGATTCTAGGGGAATTCAATCTCCCTAGAGTCAACTTCGCGGAACATACGTATACTGGAGGTGAAAATTCAATTGAAGCTCGGTTCTTCAACCTCATTGAGGACTTGGGACTACACGAAAATGTGAAGTTGGCTACTCGTTGGAGGAACAGTCAGACACCGTCGCGCCTAGTCTGCGTTTTTACAAATGAAGAATTTCTAGTCGACAACCTCTCAATTCTGGCTCCCCTGGGGAAAAGCGATCACGCCGTTGTAGCCTTCAGTTTCGTCAGCAAAGCTGAGCTAAGATATCCCAAAAACAACAAGAGCTAGAATTTCTAACGGTTAAATGCGTCTGCTCTACAGGACTATCTACAACAGGTTGATTGGGATGTTCACTCTCAACTTGATGTGGATGCTCACTGGGATTTCTTACTGCACACGCTCTTATGTGCTACAAAGCAGTCAGTTCCTCAAACGGTCCCCAAAAGCAACAAGCAACGTACAATCATCACGAAGCGCACTCTTCGTTTGTTAAGCCGCGAAAGGCACTGTTGGGCAGAATACAAAAGAACTGACAACAAAAGTGCGTACAGGCCATACAAACATATAAGGGACATATGCACGAAGGCTATAAGAGAAGACAAACTTCAGTACAAGATAAAGACTATGGATAAATGTTTCTCCAATACGAATAGCTTATTCCGTTACGCAGCCTCTTTTTGTCAAGCCAGAACTGGAGTTTCCCAATTGCTAGGTCCTAACGGCTCGACCAATAACGACGGCGACGCCGCTAACCTTTTGGCTGAGCAATACTCTCGAACATTTCAACCGACCCACACCAACTATACTGTTAACAGCTTCAACTGCAACTACACAGGACTATCCGTGGTGAACCTGAGAGCTGACTTGGTGTTTCGAAAACTGCGGCATCTAAGAACAAACACTTCTCATGGCCCAGATACGGTCCATTCTGCTATACTGAGGGAAGCAGCTTCAATCCTGGCAACACCGCTTAGCGTGATGTTCTCACACTCGCTAAGTGGAGGCAAACTACCGGATAATTGGAAGCTGGCTCATATCACACCAATCTTCAAAGGAGGACGACGCAGCAAACCTTCAAGTAACCGCCCGGCAGCTCTTCTCCCTATACCTTTAAAAATCATGGAGTCCCTGATATACCATGGTATGCATGACTATTTACTGTACTTAAACTTCTCACCCCCAGCAACATGGTTTCAGCGAGGGTTACTCCTGTATGACCAACCTACCGACTGCGGTGGACGGATGGTTAAGCATCCTTGATCCCAAGGGGAAGGTGGATATTATTTACCTTGGTTTCTCAAAAGCTTCTAATAGGGTTAACCATATATGTCTTATCAAAAAGCTTGGGCAATTGGGTGTCAGACCACCTCTAATTGATTGGCTCAGTTCATATCTGACAAATTGACATTTTAAGGTCAGGGTCAACTTCAATTTATCACAGGCTATAGAATGTCCTAGTGGAGTCCCACAGGGCTCAGTATTAGGGCCTCTTCTTTTCTTGATTTATATAAATGATCTTCCTCAATAGGACATTACTTTTCGCCGATGACGTGAAACTTTGGAGAGAGATACTCAACCAAGAGGATAAACTGACATTTCAGGACGTTCTGACTCGACTTCAAAGTTGAGCAGACAACAACGGACTTACCTTTAAGACTTCGAAGTGTAAAGTATTCCATCTGAGACATGTTTTAGATGACAGCTACAACTTGGGCAATTTCCCTCTAGTAGTATCCCTGGTCGAAAAAGATTTAGGAGTCCTGGTGCCCTACGACTTAAAATCTTGCACTAACTGTGACAGAAATGCCTTTAGAACAAACCTTCCACTGGTAACACTGAAGCGCAATTTTGGCCAGTTTGACGGAACAACTTTCCACATAATCTTCAACAGTATTATTCGTCTCCATTTAGAATACGGAAACATAGTATTCCCTCTTACACTCCAAAAGGATAAGGACACTCTGGAGCGTATCCGACGGCGAGCCACGAAATCAGTTCGGGGACTCAAATTCGAACCTTATGAAGAGCGCCTCCAATCACTTAACCTTTACCCATTAGAGTATAGGCGTCTTAGAGGTGACCTTCTGATGGCTTACAGTATACTAAACACTTCTGGACATCCTCTTAAACACCTACATAAGTTTAACTCCAACACAGACCTAAGGGGTAACACCCAGAAATTGGAGATATAACATAGCAGAACGGACTGTATACACAACTTCTACTCCTTAAGAGTTGTCAAATGCTGGAATTTTCTGCCGGTCGAGCTAGTCCAAGAGAATTCTCAGAAGTATTTTAAGAGGCGACTTGGTCTATTCTCTTCCGTCGTTTTATACCTAGGTTCCTGCTTGGAGGCTATAGCGATCCCCTGCTACTAGACACGGAAACATGCTAGACAAAAGCTTCTTCTATTCCGTCCACAACCTTTTGAACCAGTCGAACGAGTAAATTCACAAATTTTTTCGAATCCCGCTCATGTGGATTATGTCTGATATCGAAAGTATTTCCAGATCAATAGGTAGGCGATTATTTTGTCTTACCACTGAAAACTGTTTTGTATCATTTAATAATGTTGAGATCAAGTATTGGAACCTGAGAAACACCAAATTCATGCGTGATGTCCGCGCTTTTCAAACGTTGTTGTAGTGTGTTTTCGAGATCAACCGGTAGGTCGGTGTTTCTCAATATGTTGAAACTCCATATTATGAAATTTCAGTGCTATGGGATGCGGAACCATTTTTGGTGCCCTATGACCCTCTGGAACAGGATTAGATGTATTGTGATTAATAATCATTTTGCCAATATAATAGTACATTTGAATTTATTTATATCATACTGTAGGTTGTAAAATGATCTTAGTGATCATGAGCTGGTATTGATTTCCATAGTGCACACAATATTGTAGATGTGAGAATAGTGGCTTATGTGTTGACCTTGTCAGAAAAAAAATCCGGAGGTTTTTATGGAATGGAAACATTTGAAATCCCGTACTTACAAGTGTTAAATAACCGACTACACTAGGTATGCACGTCTGTCTAAAAAGAAAAAATTAATTCTGCAGTCATTTAGGCCTTTTGAATAGTTCTGGAATACTACGTAGCCTGGCTTTGGAATATTTGAGAACCGTTTTAAGTACTAATTTCACATCTCACCTGGAATAACTTGTGCATTATGTCTCCTTACATTCACCCATTTAAAACATTCAAAGAAGAGCAACGCGCGAAGCACGGGCTGAAAGATTCAACCCTTCTTATCTGACGTGTAAGCGTCTGTTACATCCTGTCTAATATATGAGTTTTAAGGAAATGTAGTCATACTGTTTCATTTTCCCTATAGTTCTCTTCATGTAAGTAAATCACCGATACGCTATGGTAATGGTTCGTCGATCTAAACACGTCAACGCGCAATGAGCTCGCACAAAAATCGTGCGAACCTTTCTACTGTTTGGATCGGTACGTTGTGGAACTCTCCCGGAAGCTCTTGTGATAGCTCCCTCCGGTAGATATCTCAAAAGAAAGCTTGATGATCAGTATAACTCTGTAGGTATTGGGATATTTGCTTTGCCTTCTAGTTTCTAGTAGGAATATAACGGAAATCATACCTCTTTAACCAGATACTCCTACTACCCATCTGCAGATCCCGCAGGACGATTCACTCTTCTGGCTATTAGGGTTCGGAGTTTAGCAATTTAATATGTGATAATGTTTAGATGTATTTGTCCTAAAGCAGTGTTTTGAAAAAGGATTGGTTGGTTTCCATATGCGCTAGATCATTGTTGTGACAAATACTGCTTAAAATTTGAAATATTCCCATAATGTAAATTTAGAACAACATATAAGCGAACAATATTGTTTTCGATTAGATCCTCATCAGGCTTTACTCTAATATACAGTAATATTTATATGCATATACGAAATTATTAAACCAATCAAGGTAGTTTATAAATCAATGATAACGATGAATAAAACGATTATATAATATGTGAAAAGTACAAATTGACAGTGTGATGACAGGTGTACTAGTTTTTATAAGAATAATAATGGCTCAAATCAATGTTACAAAATCGGAAATAGATAACATAGATAACAACGTTAGGCAAGAAACTAAAATACTAACCGCAATAATTATCGGACGCTTAACAAAGACCCATGAACTGCAAATACGAGAAAAACAGGCTGACTTCAGACCTGATCGTGGCTACATCGACCACATAATCAACATTCGTCGGACTCTAGAACACAGGCATGCTTATCGGCGTCCGACAATGATAGTTTTTATTGACTTAAGAGCAGTATTTGACTGTTGATCGAGAGGTTCCGTGGCAGTGTGCCATTAAAAGGTGTACCTCAGAAGTACATAAACTTTGTCAAGGCTCTTTACTCGAACACTACTAGTCGAGTTAGAGCTTATAACGAAGAGTCATTTGATTTCACAACCACGAGTGGTGTCCGTCAAGGTTTTCCACTATCTCCATTTCTGCCTAATTTAATTGTAGACCTACTGCTAGAAATAACGTTCTCGTCGTTTGAATTTTTAGTTATTGATCTTTTAAGAGGTCCACTTATCGACTCAGAGTATGCAGATAACAAAATCCTGTTTGATGAAGACTAATAAAATGCAGGGTCTTTTGTTAGTACTAACCAACAATGCCAAAATGTATGAGTTTCGTTTCTACCTCTCCAAATGCAAGTTGTTGCTTCAGGACTGGCCTGCGTCAACACCTGAACTAAGGATAGGGAGTGAAGTAGTCGGACGCGTTGACAACTTCACTTATCTTGGAAGTCTGATCAGCCCTAATGGGTTGGTGTCTGACAAAATCTCAGCATGGATTCAGCAAGCTCGTTTGGCTTTCGCCAACTTACGTGACCTATGGCTAAGGTGAGATATCCGTCTATCAATTAAGGCCGAGTATATTGCTCAGCAGTTCGTTCTGTTTTAGTTTACGGCTGCGAAACGTGGCCATTAAGAGTAGAGGATACTCTTAAGTCACTAGACGCAAGGTATTAGGGAATGATGGTAAATCAGTTGATGAGGTTGTGAATCTTTATCGACTGAGATTGTTGGGCCACGTGTTGCATATGCCTGAACACCGATTACCACGACGCGCAATGCTGACTAATGTTGGGGATGGTTGGAAGAAAGTTAGGGGTGGCCAAACCAAAAATTTCGTATTAGTCCGTAAAGTCACTAACTCCTAGTCTTAACCGTATTGGTAGATGCAGACTACTTGGTTGGGGTCCACGTGACTATCGTAAGCAATGGTTGGAGACTGTGGGCGATATGGCTCAGAATCGATCACAATGGAGTGGGTGTACACACTATCTATCTTCCCTTAAACTGAGGGAATAAATTCACTTCATATCTTTCATACTACGCACTTAATCTTTCTTCCTGTAATATCTCATATGCAATCTTTCTTTTATGTTACCACCACTGAATTAACTACTACTATGAATTTGGTGTTCATCTTGCTGTTTTAATGCGGTATGGCAACTTGGATCGATGCATATATGTGTCTGGTCCTACGTTGCAGCTGACTGACTGACTGTCAATTTTATTGTATCTTGGTAACCATGTTGTTGTCTCAGTTGATCTGCGAACGTTATATTACTTATGGGATGTAAAACATCTAGTTTATCTCATCTTGTTTTAAGCTGGTTGTCGTATAATATCGTATCTGTATGCTACTACTTTTCTATATGAATAGTTGTGTAGCATCCAACCAGTCAGGTCCAACTAAAAACAACCATGTGACTGAGTTCAGTAAAAATGAAGGTGAACTAGTCTAAGTCAGTCAATTTCTTTAAATAAATCAAATCACATTATGTAAATCTTGTAGTCTGAAAAATGCTAACTGTTGGTTGAACTATTTATAGTGAAAATGTATATCTTCATCTACAACCTCGTGTTTTTCATAGTTGAGTAAATTGTAACTACACAACTTTAATACTGTATATACTTATGTGAAGTAACTGAAGTGACAATAAATATGTTTGTACATTGTTGTCCATGCTTAGGTATGGTTGATTAATTAAATCCTTACAGTTAAGTTAATACTAGTGGATAGAATAAACGAAATATGTCACTAAATAAACTAGTAAAGCTTAACACCAAGTGTAAATAATGATCTCTGATTGTGGTGTGATATTTCAAACAGTAGACAAATGAAGGTCATTTGAAGTAGAAATGTCGGAACATGGTCAAGGACAATATTAGTCAAAAATAAAGTTGGTAATGTCAATTTGACCGCAAGCTAGCTAATCTGTGTTACAGAATCATTAAAATGTAGATAACAGTGAACAGTGGTTCTCTTGTTGTTGTGGGACTCCTAAGCTGTCGTCAATCAGTAGTGAAAATTACTTTAAACTGCACAAAATCTTTAGAAAATGTACGAAATGTATCCGAATGGGATTAGATTGGAAAAAAAATGATTGTAATAAAAGAGCTTGTATATTCACTACTATCTTTATACTCCATAGTTTCCTTCATACTTTTTAACATTTTATCTGTTTGATGTTCTGTATTTTTTCTCTTGCTAACTGTCATGCACCATTTGAGGTTTCATTCAAATTTCATTCCTCTTATTATTGTTTTAGCTCATAGGTTACTCTCATTCACAGTAACTTTCACCTACTTTTTAAAAAACCACGATATTGTCCTGCACTTTGTAACTATATCTTTGAACTTTAATCTCTTTTCTTTCTTTCTCATCGATCTAATGAATAATTTACTTATTATATTCAGTAGTACTATTATTTATTTTTGACCGTAGCTTACTTGTAAGTTCCAAAAATCTTCATTCAGCAACTCGTACTTTAATTAAGCAACAAAACCAACTGTTGTGATATATTTAGCCTTTTAAGGATTTTCGATACTGTACGTAGGTATTTCATGTTCCCGATTGTTAAACTGTGTAGAGCAATTGAATTCTTAGGTCGTAGTCAAATGTCGCGCGGAAAAATTCTACTCGATGAGTAACAGTAAAATGTTAACACATATCCTGGCTGACGAATCTTAATCAAGACAAAACGCACGTTCTGGATTTGACTGCTAGCTATAATTCAGCTTTGCTGAAAACGAACAAGTCAATCCACTAATAAAGAGCATCGATAAACAAAGACAGTCATTTGTCATACAATCCCATTCTTCAGGTTTTCTTCCTTAGTCTGAGGATGTCATTTACGTTTGTTCTTTTACTTCGAATTGAGCTGAAACCATACTACTTCAATACACCGCAATTATTTCTCACATCTAGTACAGTTGCTAAACATCTTCAGTGCATTTTACAATTATCTTGATAGTTGCAGTTCCAAAACCTAATTATTTGATTTGTTTGTATCTTCTTAAACGTTTCATAGTCTCTACATTTCTTGTCTCATAGTGTAATTGGATTTGGGCGATGCCGAAAAATCTTAAGTGACTAAATATTCTACCTCACATACCTACATCAACTATATTTCAACCCTGCAATAACTCACTTTATCCACTCCCTGATATAAAACGGGGTATATCTGATTTGAATTAAATGTGGTGTAAGCTGGTGGTTGCTGGTCGTGCTTTATATAGACACAGATATTTTATCAACCCGGTAAAGCCTTTAATCTTAATTATATTCATGCACCCATACTCTTATATATCATACCACGCTAATTATTTTGTACTATAGGTTCCTTCCACAAACAACTGTTGAATTGGTCCTTTGATTCAGTTGGCCTCAAGTGTGTAGATAATGGATTATCTTCACCAGTTGCATCGAAAAACTGCTTTTCACTACTTGGAATGTCTCCAACCGTTAATCTAGCTACTTTGGCTCAAATGGCTATTTCTGGTCCATTTCAAAAAAAGCGTCCCCCAAATAAAGCGATGAACTCGAAGCCATTCATAAAAGGGATTGTGCTAAAAACTTTTATACGTAAACCGAAGAAACCAAATAGTGCGAATAGAAAATGTGTACGTGTCCGTTTAACTGATGGTCGTGAAATCACAGCTCATATTCCTGGTGAAGGTCATAATTTACAGGAACATAATATTATTTTAGTTCGTGGTGGTCGCACACAAGACCTTATCGGAGTGAAACACAAAGTTGTACGTGGAGTACATGACTGTGCACCTGTTCGGAAACCAGGTTCAAAATGAAACTTTGTAGTAATTTAATCCATGGGACTTCAGCAGTGTTTATAAAGATAATTCGAATTTTTATATTTGTGTTCTTAATTTCTCACTGTCGCGAGGTGCTTTAGCAAGTCGTTTTGTATTGTAAGATATCATGTTTGGGATCTTCGAATTTTGACCCTGGATATATTTTTAAAAATTTAAACTTTAATTTTGCAATGGTGGAAGACTTCTAGCCCAGAGTAAGGATAACAGCTACTTGTGGCCATGCGTATATAGCCTCTACCAGGGAAGTCCTACTCACTGCCTTCTCGTGGCGGGTGTGTTGTCTACGAAAACGAGAGGACGAACAGCGAATGTCCGGCCACCTTAACCGGATTCCAAATCAATGGTGCACACGGGCTCCAGTATCCTGAAAAAACAAATGGCGTATGAACCAATCGTTGGTCACCGGCTACCATGGGACTACATCTCCTTACGATACTACACTGCCTTGTGGGTCAGACGTTCAGGTCGAAGGCTCGGGTTGTGGCCCCCTAAGTAAACCACCTGCTTTGGTTTGGGCACCCGGGCAGTATCACAGCCCTCACACATATCCAATGAGATCTGTGTGGCGCATATGTATTTGGTACCTCCTTGTACCAATATCTATGTGGTAAAATAATTAAATAAACAGCTACTTAGCATTCTTCAAGCCTTGGCATTTGTAGATTAATACCGTCTAAGCTGTTTAGCCTGTTGAAAACCTATATTCAGATGGCAAAAAATCGGAATAATTCAACAAATCCCCACCATCCTTCGAGACATGCTTATTCTGTTCGGAAGTAGTCATTCAATATTCACCACTATTTATTTTACTTGTTTTTTTGATGCAGCTCAGTAGTATGTGTAGATATCTTATTTTAACAACACAACGCTATAATTGTTAGACCTTGAGCATTTTCTTGTCTTTCATTTCTATTAATCTTTCGTGGTCTGGGGAAAGCATATTGTATTTGTGTATTTGTAACTACCCTTTTTAGTCCACTGCAATTCACAGTATACGGTGATCGATTATCATAGTTCAACATGTAAGCCGGTGGAATACATGCTTCTCAACTTACGTTAAAATCCTCAAATCTTCCTGAGATTTTTTTGAAAATTTAGAAAGGCTGAACCACTTTGACTCTAGTGTGTTTATTGACTATAACTCAAATAATAATAAGGATGAATCTTATCGAATGATCTTGTAGTTATTTCATTGCAAAACTACGTTAAACTGCCTGTTTGTAAAATGATAATTATACTATGTATTAAGGCACACAGGTTTTACTGTGTGCATGTGAAATATATGTTGTAATCATAAAGTAGCATAATTGTGAATGTTCCAACTCTGACTTTGAATCACCTTTCACATCCATTGAAATCATTACATGTTAGACTGGTCGTTGGGGAGCGTTCTAGGTTGAAGTAAACTACTGGAGAACTAACTATTGTGTATGGCAAATAAATAGCATTGAAGAATTTAGTAGTCTTACAGTGAAACTTTTGTACTGCTATTGATATTGCTATTTGTTGTGACTGCGGAAAAAACTTCCATTTGGTACTCGTTGCGTCATAACAGGACGGATATATCTCAATTAAGGAAGAAAAGCAGGGTTGTAAATGAAGAATTATTTGTACATCAATTACTGGCTCCGCCACTGACTTACAACCAACTTTCAACTGATCAAATTGACATAAAAAATTAAAAGAAAATTTGCAGCGTTTTTAATTATCTGATCAATGGTTAAATTTGACCTCATTGAACTGGAAGTGATTGACAAATAACTTAATGCATGTATATAGTTTTCCAAATCAACAAGTTTTTTCTCCTATTTATTTGAACACATATTGATACAGAGGGCCACCGAATACATATGCATCACACAAGTCACTTGATTAGTGTGTGGGCTGTGATACTGCCCGGGTGCTCAGGCTGAAGCGGGTGATTTTCTTAGGGGGTCACACCTGGAGCCTTCGACCTAAAGGTCTAATCCACAAGGCAGTGGAGCATCGTAAGGAGATGCAGTCCCATGGTATCCGGTGACCAACGATTAGTTCACACGCCATTTGTTCCTTCAGAATACTGGAGCCCACGTGGACCATTTTATTTGGGATCAGGGTTTTCAAACTCTCCTAGGTGGAGTCATATTGTCCACCAAGCTGGTTAAAGCGCTGGACGTTCTCTTTCCGTCCTCTCAATTTTGTAGACAACACCGGTGCCGCGAAAAAGCAGTGAGTAAGGCTTCCCTGACAGTGGCTGTATACGCGTGACCATGTGAAGGCATTTCGAGAGGGAGAGCTAACTCTCTCCACCCTCGTCCGTACCAGAGCATTTGGTGGCAAGATCTTATTAAGAAATTGTCCAAATACTTGTTATTTCGTTTCTAAATTACTTAATTAATCCCTACATATTTATATTGATGGTTAGATGTTGCAGCAACCGGCCTATAAATGCTTCAGTGTTGCTTACCAAACATTATTTCTCAGGTCATTTGCAAACATGGGGATTACTTTTTATACAGGTTGAAAACTAAATAACTGATGAGGAGCAGTGCCAACTTGAATTACTATTTCGAGGATTAGATAACTATCAACAACTAAATGCATAATGATAACATAACTAAAATTTGTTTATCCTCATTTATTGTAATCTCATCGACCACTTGACCGTGACTGTCAGAACATGTCATCAACAAAAAGAAATTGCAATTGAAATAGTCCAAAAGTAAAAGTTGTGATGGGATTTGTTTCGTACACGTCAGTTACTAGTATTTTCTTTGTTTAAAAAATGGGGTTTATTATGGAAGACACATCCATTTTTGTCTGAAAATGACCGATGAAATTAGTGGTGTAAGCTTTTATTTGGCTAAACTTAATTACCTATATTTGTTAAAATGACCTGATCAGTATTACCAAGGCCAGTTGTAAAATAGAGAAATAGTGTTAAAAAACCACTAAGTAATTTGCATTCAGTGAAGAATCTTAACCTATCGTGAGCTTTTAAGATAGTTAACAAATTGAGTACACTTTTTAAAAGCGATAGTTTTAAATATGTTTTTAGTAAAAACTTTGAACTTACCAACTTGTTTTTTCACCTATGAGTGTATTTTCATCCTACTTTATTGTATTTCTTATTATGCTGTCATCATGATAAACTTTCGATTGATATCCGTTTTGATAAAATTTTTGTGATTAATTTACTGTAACTTCATTACTTTCCCATACCACTATTTATATATTTTGTTCCGCTTACCTGTACACTCGTTTTTACTGCCTGATTTTTTAATTGTAACTAATTGTCAACAATAAACATCTGAAAACAAAACAATTATGTTTTCCCACTTTTTATTTACTGTGCATGCTTCATACTGCTAGTATTCTATTTCAGGAAGAAAATCCTTAAAATGTCAGACGCTGTTAAGATGATTCCTGATGATGAGTCTCAGCGAGAAAATTGCACACAGCCATCTGAACCAGTTTCGTTTGTGGAAAAGTCGGAGAGCAGTTGCTCCCCATGTGTTCCACAGCCTATTCCACCGAAACTTCCTGTTAATAAGTTGTATGGAATTCGAGCTATGATTGGAATCTGTCTATTGTTATTTTCTGCGTATCTTGGCTCTATCTTCTTTTTGGCTCCATTACTACCGTTGGCTGTTCTGTCGCCTGTTCTATTTCGCTATTTTATTGACTTGCTCTTAACATCGTGGCTGATGCTTGCTGAAGTGAGTATATATGTAGATATAATTTGATGACTAAAAGATGGGATAATTGCAGTACAAATTATTACTCACATAAATCATTTTATTTTTCAAGTATAATAACAACAAAATACTTTAAATTCAAACATACTAACACAGATGCCATTAGGTGTGAATAAAACAATTAGGCATCACATCAAAACACAGTTAATTTCCCTCCGAATTGGCCGTGAAGCGTAACAAATTAATAGTCATCGTTGAATTGAGACTCAATAATCATCTTCAACAACCAATGGCACTATCGAAAATTTAGATGCCAACTCACGCGACATTGCTTATAGCAAGAGGATGAAATATTTTTCTAATTGCAATAATAAATATTCAGGAATTAGTGTAAAGCGAAGTAATCCTACATTCTACAATTCGAATAACTTTTTGTTAATCCCTAACTCTATATGATCGGTTGTTTTTGTTTTCCCAGTATAAACTAGTTATCAAGGGTAAACAATTTTTTTATTATCAATTTACTTAAATGATTAATTCTATGAATGTTCTTGAGTCATTCGAATTGTCTCATTTGCAAATTCTTGTCTCTATTGTACTTCAATTCTGATTTCTAATCAACACAAATTCTTGTGAAAAAGCTTATCATGTGTGTATCAGCTGATCTTCGCATAAAGAGAAGTAGGTTGAAAAATGCTGTTTGTTTTTTCTTTTGTTGTTTAAAAAAGCTAGTAGATTTTATTCAACCATAAACAACTTATAAATAACAAAAATTTATACTCAACAGAAGACAAGTAAGGCGAATGTAACTTCAATCTGAATATACAAAATATTGTTAATTTTCATTGGAATCACGAACCGATCTGAGTTAGAAAACTGTTGAAAGCTCGTAAACATTGGACAGCTGTTTCGTCTTAGTACGAGACTCCTGAGTGATGTAAATCCGCTACCTCTCAACCGAGGATCGAACCCACAGCTTTCGGTCTCGCGCACGAACAGTTGACCTTTAGACCACTGAGCCGGCATCTAGCCGCGTACAAGTCTAACTTCAATCAATCCACTATATTGCACAACCATTTTCTTATTGTCTTTGTTAGGTACTTTCCTCATACCTGATATGGTTTGTCTCCACTGCTCACGGCTTCTCACTAGAACTCCGGAAATCTCTCGTGGATTGATTCAAGTTAGACTTGTACTCGATTAGACACCGGCTCAGTGGTCTACAGGTCAACTGTTAGTGCTTGAAACAGAAGACTGTGGTTTTGATCCCTGGTTGTAGGGTATTGGATATAAACCACT